TGAGAATATGTGAAATTAGAGCTACTTATTCAAACTTTTCTTGCAAACACACTGATATGTAGGATGGAAAGAATTATTGCACATGATATTCTAGTCCATTACATGGGAAACACTATCAGAATTCCTAATGTTGATCCAAAGAACTACCAATATATTGACCTTCTTGGTGATGTTACTGATAAGGCAATGAATGATTTGCCTGGAAATTTGAACATGCTTGTGCATATGAAATGTGCGATTCCTAGGACAACAAGCTTTATGGACATCAGTAGTGACAAATCAGTCCTTGATATGTTCAAACTTCATGAAAATGATCTTGTTATAAACCTGTACTTGCTGCACCTGGATATTATTCCTACTACAGAGGAGAATATGGTAGAGGACAGGAATAACCAACTTATTGTGGCACAGAAAAACATAGGAATTGAAAATGCTCCTATTCCTGTAGTTGACAGTGAGGGTAATGATGAGATTTATGCTTCTAGTTCTGATGACTCTTGGAAGGATGACATAGATAGTGACTTCAAAGATGTCATAGCTGAAGATAGGGCCTTAATTTCTAGTAGTGATAAGGACGAAAATGACTTGTCTGATTATGAGGAGATTGAGGATGCACAAGTTGTGCCTGATTCAGAATCTGACAGAGAGACTGATCCTATGAGAGCAATTATGCAGTCAAAAATGTGGACTTACAATCCAAGAGAGGACATTGAGTTTGAAAAAGGGATGCTATTTACCAATGTGGATGCATTTAGAGCATTATTGAAGGACTATGCTATTCAGAAAGGATTTCCATTGGTGAGGTTGAAAAATGAAAAGAGCAGGTGCACTGCCAAATGTGGTGCTGAGGGGTGTAACTGGAGGATTCATGCATCCCCGATTGGTGATACAACCACATTCATGGTTAAGACATATACACCTGAGCATACGTGTGTCATGAATAGGAAAAATTCAGAAGCTACATCAGATTGGATTGCAAAGAAGTTAATTTCTGTTATGAGAGATCACCCGGAATTGACAAGTAAGGGAGTAAAGGCTGAAATGCAGAAGCATGGAGTCTTGCCAAGTAGAATGCAAATTTACAGGGCAAAAAAAAAAGCCTTAGAACAGATAGAAGGATCACATAGTGAGGCCTATGGAAAATTACCAAAATATGCTGAACTGTTGAGGATGCACAACCCAGGAAGCATCATGAAAATTCACTATGACAGGCCAAACGTTCTGGTAGAACCTAAATTTCTGAGATTGTTTATCTCTTTCAAGGCACAAAGAGATGGTTTCCTGGCAGGTTGCAGGCCATTTATTGGTTTTGATGGCTGCCATTTGAAAGGTGCATTTGGGGGCATTCTGTTGACTGCTGTTGCTCTTGATGGGAACAATAGTTTGTTTCCATTAGCTTTTGCTGTGGTAGAGTGTGAAAACAAGGAAGCCTGGAGTTGGTTTTTTTACTATTTTCAGGAATTCTTTGGACTATTTTCAGCCAATATTCCACTCACCTTCATGAGTGATAGACAGAAGGTATGTTTCTTCATTTCTGTGATTAAGCATGTTTCAGATTTCCTCCATGACTGTTATAGTGGCTGAATCAAGTGCCTGAAGGAAAGAGCTACTGAAACTTCTGTATAGGGACTGATGACCTTGTACTTATATTTTATAGGGACTCAACCTTGCTTATGAGGAACAAGTGCCTGAAGCTGGTGCACGATATTGCTGTTGGCACATCTACTGCAACTTCAAAGTCAAATTTCCAGGATTGCTGCTGAGGAGATATTTTTGGCAAGCAGCTAAAAGTTATGATTTGATAGGACACAATGAGGCTATGGAAAGAATAAAAATTATTAATATAGATGCTTGGAGATACTTAGCAAACATTCCTAAGTGTAATTGGGCAAGGCATGCATTTTCTGTTGAAATTAAGTGTGATCATGTCACCAATAATTTCACAGAATCTTTTAATGCATGGGTTGGAGAATTGAGAGGAAAGAATATACTTGCTCTGGCTGAAGGACTGAGGCAAAAATTCATGAAAAAACTGCATAAGAGGTATCAAAAAGGCTGCACATGGACATCTAGTGTTACCCCACATGTGATTGGCAAGCTGAAGGATATTGCAGCTGAATCAAGAAGGTGTTCACTGATAATGGTAAGTGACAACACGTTTGAAGTAGCAGACTATGATAAGTCCTATATAGTCAAGTTGACTGATAGGACATGTGAATGCGGGGCTTTCCAGTTGACAGGCATTCCTTGCAAGCATGCTGCACTAGGAGCTCTTTATAGAAGGGAGAAACTGGAAAGCTACTGTGATGCAGCCTTTTCCATTGATCAATACTTGAAAACGTATGCATTCATGATCAATCCAATTCCACATATGAATAGGTGGCCTCCAATGGAAGATGTGACACCAGTAGTAGTTTTGCCACCACCACTTAGAAGAAGAGCTGGTAGACCAAGAAGAAATAGGAGAAGAGCAGCTGATGAAGGAGCTCCTGCACCTCAACACAAGAGATCAATCAGTTTCAGGTACTCAAAGTGTGGCAGATTTGGACATAATAGGAGAACTTGTCAAGGAGCTCCTATTGCTGAAAAAAGAGGGAGCAGTACTTCTACAAAGCAGGCAGCAAGTCGAAGAGGAAAACCAGGAAGAGGCATTGCTAATACTGGATTAGCAGGATCTGTTCTATGGGTAATTGAAACAATGTCAAATTATAGTATCTGATTGTGTATTAATTCTGTTCAAATGAGCTTAGCTTTGTGATCTGATTTGTCAGGAACATGCACAAGGAAATGTCCCAGTCATTGTATCAAGTCAAGGCAGTAATGGAAGGACTCAAAATCGTGTTGCTGGAGCTCATGTTCAACTTAATCATTCTGCCTGCACTACTACTAATACCAGAAAGGTTTAGTTCAAATATCATTCTGCCTGCTAACTATTCTAACTGTCGACCAGCCATTAGTTTAATAAGATTTGTTGCATGGCTTCAGAGAGGAGGGCCAAATGCAGGAACTGAGAGGACTACAGTTGCTAACAACAACAAGAGAGCCAGACCTTCCATTGCTGTTGGCTCAGAACAAACTCCAGCAGTCACTGCATCTTCAATATCCACTTCTGCTGGTATGGGATCTCACATTGACAATAGCAGCACCAGTATGAGGTTCTAGTTAGTGCTAGTATTATGAGTTTTACTTTGGGAAGCTAATCTGGTACATTTGTATACGTAGCAATCCTCATCATCTAGAATGATGTTCTTAGATGATGTTGCAAATGAGATTCTTGTTGATTGCTACATATTTTTGTTTAGTTGTATATGTAACGTATGCCAAGTGGTTAATTGCATTCCCAGTCCTAGTGAACAACTTTAAAGACTGATGTTTTGGTACTTATGTTTGGGAATTGCAATTTACTCTTGCCAAGTATGCTTTGCTGCTTCCCAGTCCCATGCTCTTGTAAAAATGTCATGCTGTGTTTTTTCGTTTAACTTTATGACTCTGATTCCTTAGGATTATGTGTGAAACTAGTACTGTTGTTTTCCAATGAACTTAGCTGGGGAGTATTGTTATACCTAAGGAACTACACCTGATAGCTTAATGCATTTTCTGTCTAGCTTAACTTTGGTATAACACTGATAGGCAACAAATATGGGGGCATACGTATGAAGTAAAACATTCCTTCAACTCTTTTTCACATAGCTTAACACCATCTCCAAGTTACACATGCCTTCTGGTTCTTTCATGCATGGCCAGTAAGGGCCAAACAGCTTGGAACACATCTACTATTACTGGAACAAGAAACTGTGATTGCTTTAACAATTTGAATGAAAAGATAAATTGCTAAGAGTACAAGATTGATGATGAACAAGAAAGTGATGCATGCATTCTGTTGAGGCACAAAGTTACATTCCTGATTTGCTTTCCTCAATGGAAGCACTGCAGAATCGGCACCATTTCTTGTACGCTGCACTTCTTCAACTTCATTTCTTTGCCTCTGCAACTCTTCACCTTCATTTCCTTGATACCACTTGAAGTAGTTGCACTTTGAACAACTAAAATATAGCTTATCCGGATTTCTTTCACTCTCTGAGATTCGTAATGTAGCCTTCCGGTTGCATTTGTAATACCGGTTCTTCATACTTAGTGATGAAGGTGAATTGTATGACTGACCTTGAAAGGATGAACTAGCCATTTCTTTGCTTGCTTTCCTCTTTAAGTTTTGCAGCTACTTCATGCGGTTCCGTCACCTTTTAATACCACTGGAAGCAATGTCAATTTAGCCGTTGCATGTCCAACGGCATGCAACAGTGCTCATACCACAAACTTTTTCTCCAATTCACATTCCACCCACTGCAACTTTCTTAATCACAGGATTCAGTCAAACTAAGGGTATGAAGGGAATTAAAATACTCTCCCTCCTCCAAAACCAATATTCTAATGTTACTTTAGACACCAGGGGCTGACATTGTTAAGAAAATGTCAATTCAAAGGGTGGTAAGAGAGATTTTTAAAATGTGAGGGGAGCTAAGTGATATTTGAAGAAACCTCAGGGGAGGTTTCTGATATTATCCCTTAAAAATAAAAAAGGTGTCAAGAAACTGCAGTTTAAGAGAATAGTACTAGAAGTTCTAATTCTGTGGCTATTTAATGAGCTACCCTGTTGGATGCAGGATAAGTGTGTTAAAAAAGCAATTGATCCTTATTTATTAAGTGAATTTCTCTAGAATTTCACAATTTTACTATTTGAATTGTGGTTTTGTAATAAAAAATTTCATATTTTTCGTGAATATATTTTTCGATCAATTTTTTTATCTCCCATACATTACATTCTTAAAAAATAATTATTTCACAAAAACTTTTTATTAAAAAATTGCAATTCAAACAGCAACTAATTTTTTGCCCTTTTCCTTGGGACATCAAAGAGGAGGTTGATTGATAATTTTTTTTTTTTGGTTGGGGGGGGGGGGGGGTACCCTGTAGAAGTAAATATTCTGATACTATCGAAACAATTAAATGAAATGCAATATATTGACTGTATCGAAACAAAGAAGGAAGATGAGAAATTTACAAGTTTCTCAATTGTGTGACAAACCAATCCAAATTAAACAGATCAAGAAATGAGCCAAAAACACACCATAGCAAGCTCAGGAAATTGTGGCTATTTATTTATATCAAACACAACAAAGTGATTCAATGTACTGATAAGCATTCACACCCTCAAATCTTAAATAGCCCTCGTCCTCAGCACCCTCAAAATCACAGAGCTTCACGAAGGTTTTGGTGACCAGATTGTAGCGAATGGCCTTACCGGGAATCTGCAAAACTAAGAAAGCTTCCTCTTCTTTTTCACCCCGAATGATAGACAAGACTGAGAGTACATAGTAACCACCATCGTACGAGTCCAATTCAGTCCTGATCATTCGTGGAAATGCACTAGTAACCGCTGAAAGATCAACCATGTACTTGATATCCCATCCTGAGCAGTCCCTCCTCATTTCATACACATAGAACTCAACATCTGGACGACCATACATCTGAATAAGGTTCAAATGGTCGCAAGATTCTCCGAAATAAGTCATTTCAGCTTCCTGTTCTGCATTATTAGGAGTTGGTCCCACTTCTCCAAGCCTTTCCTCATCAACATTGAAGTATAATGAATTATCACGACCCCAATGCCCGAGCCAATGCACTGCTCCGTTCCAGTAGATCCCATTCTTAAAATCATGTTTAGCAGCGAAAGGCTCCCCTGAAACTCTCCAGGGGCCTGCAGTGTCAGATGAGTATATCTGGATCTGATAAGACCCTGAAACCAGCTCAGAGGCCCGAACGCAGACAACTTTATAGGCAGACGACTTGGTAGGGTCAAAAGCCAAGCTTACTCCATATATGGTCCTCCTATATGCCGGCTTTGGGATTGTGGTTAACTGCTTTGTGGTGGGATTGAAAACATGATAGTTCTGTCGGGGGCGCTGAGCTCGGTAACTGGAACAAAGCAATAGGCCATTGCAAGACTGTAGAATCTTTATGGAGCCTGCAGATGGATCACTGGCAAATTTTAGTACTGAAAATGGTGAGGAGGTCAGGTTATGGACGTCAAAGTTGATGTACTCGAATTTGGTTGGGTTGCTGCGAAAGCTTGTGTAGGGCAGGAATAGGCCTATTGCTGGCTTGAGAGCGGGATTGCGGTCCTGGTGGAGGACAGCAAATTGTGGGTTGGATATGAGAGAGAGCCAGCGTTTGGAGACAAACTTGAAACGGATGAGTGATCTTATTGGAAGGCGTAAGAGGATGTCTTCCAATAGCTCATCAATCGAAGCAACTATCCGAGCAGATGTTACCTGCTCGGCTGCTCCGGAGATCTTGACACTACTGATCTCCATTGGTGGGTTTTGGGATCGGGGACGGAGTTGCTGTGCTCAAATTTGTTCGTTAAGTCCTGCACTTATATACTCTGTTCTTGCATACAGATTGCTTTGCAAGCTGGTTGTGCAACTTACGTTTGTTCGTTTGTTTTATTGTACTTAATTTTTTTTTTTTTTGTCACCACAGGGAGTATCCTTGCGGATTAATTTCTCTGTGCTTATGCACCGCCCCCAAGGAATCGAACCACGATCACAAGGTACCAGGACCTAACGAGGCATGGTGGTCAGCAGCCGAGCCCACCCCGAGGGGCTTGTACTTAATTTGTTTATTGATCATATTTTTAAGTTTGGTTTTGTTTCTTGTTACGTGTGCGCTGAGTTGATTACCAAATCTTAAAGTCAGCTGGCAAAGTGGGGATTGCTAGGGAAGCTTTTGGTTAGGTAAAAGTTATGAGCATTTTTCTGTTGTTGAAACTTGCCTGGTACAGCGATAAATCATAAACAAAAGTGTAAAGAATTACTTAAAAGGATAAGATAGAAGCGCCACAATATTGGACTCAAACTGCAAGTCTGCAACCTTTGCCTGTCAATGAGCTAAAAGATTCTACCAAATTTGCCTTACTATTGGGTTTAGCAGGTTGCAGGAAGGCGGAAACAGGTAATTACCCTTTCTAATTTTATAATCAGCTAAGTAATTTGGTCGGCCAAGATTGCTTAGTCTGTATATAATGATTTATGATTTTTTTTTGGGATAATTTTAAAACCTACTATGCGTATAATGTCACCTGACACTTCAGAATTTTAAAAAAATATCACTTATCTCGCTTATTTTTAACTCTTTATAACATTATTGTCAACCCAATCCAAAAAACTCATTAGTGGATAGAGGATATAGAATATGTTTTCATTTCAATATTGCTTTTTTCTTGTGAACCATTTTAAATTCATAATAAATCTAGTTAATCCCTTAATGTTTAAAAACTTGACAGATATAAATTTTTAATTAGGTGTTACAAGGTGTTAAAACTCAAATGAGTTTGTAAACATAAACATTTTTTCCTTGGGTTTCAAGTCCTCAATCTAAACAAGGAATTTAGAAAATTTTCAAAAATTATAAAATTTTCAAAAACTCCTCAAATTGATTGAAAATACTTCACAATAAAGGAATAATCTTTTTTGGCTTGAGAACCATTGAACACATTCTTAAAACTAATTTTTTTTTTTTTTTGTACGTTAAAGTACCTATTGTTATATTATTTCCATCAAAATTACACATTTTCTCAGTTTGTCTTTATGTTCAACCCTTTATTAATGCTTTCAATTCTGAAATAAAAATAGGACAACAAAGAGCACTTCCAAATGAAAACTCTTCTCTATCCAAAAATGAGTTTTTAAATAATATATTTTGAAATGGGTTGACAAAAGGTGAGGGGGCAAATGGTATTTTATTTAAAGTTAAAGGGTTGGTGCTAAGTGAAACTGTGGAGGCTTCCAATGAAGTATGTATGACAACGTTTTAGATTTATTATTATTCACTTTTGAGAACTTCAAATAAGGTGAATGGAATAAACGGAACTACAGAAACTAAAAGGGCCATTCCGTGAACACTTGTTAGTTAGCGGCTTGCATGGAGATATGATGTGCTTGGAACAATTTTTGCCAGAACAAATGAAAAGATTTTCCCAATCTGAGATTTTCTCAGAAATAAAGGGACTTTGAACCAGTTGCACTGAAAGAGACTGAGAGAGGGTAGAGAGACTCCATGAATTGGAAACAATCAAACCATCCACACATAGGAGAACCACCAAAGTTGCAGTGAGGAGCAAGATCACATATCTTCCCCTGCAACTGGCGTCTCCAAATTTAAACCGTATGGCTTTGCCGGGTATACTTAACACAAGGAATGACTATTCATCATCGGTCTTTCGAAAAAAATCCATTGTAAGGAATTTGTGGTAATGCAAACTCGAAGGGTCAAGTAAACTACAAATCAAGCTCAGGAAATGAATTTAGAGAAGCATATGCAGATAAGCTCGTAATGCGGCGACTTTCTTGAATCAAAAGCTAAATTGACAGCGTAAACTGATCGATTCGTACCTCATCTGTCATGGGAACTCTAGGGAGAGACAAGAGGGATAGTAATGAAGTCCTTGGTGGTAGGATTGAAGATATAGTAGTATTTGCAATCACCAGGATTTCGAGCTCGAAAACTACGACAAAGTAGTAAACCATTGCAAGATTGAAGAGCTTTTATTCCCCGCTTATCTTTGCCGAAAGTGGGAGATTTGAATGGGGAAGTCTCATTTAAAGTCAACGCTTTCTTGGCATCAAGTTCATCGAGGCCAAAGCCGACAAAATCATATTCTGGGTTGCTAAGGAAAGAAGAGCCGTGCAAAAGCAGGCCGGAGATTGCTTGGCTAAAGCCGTGATTTTTACGGTGACAAGACTCTGGGCTTCTTGTCACAGAAAGCCAATATTAGCTTTGAAGCGGATGAGGGATTTTACTGGCAGCAAATTTGGTGGCCGAAGACTTCTCCAATTCTTTGGGGCTTTCAGTTTCCCGAGCGACAGCATTCCCGACTTTGAAGCTTTTAGATGGGTTCGCACTTCAGAGAGAACTAGTTGGCAATAGTCGCTTAGGATGGCTGTTAGAAATGAAGAGCGCAGTGTAATGGCAATGGCTGCTTTGCAGAAGGTTCCAGTAAAGGTGATAGCTGTTAATAATTAACACGGGGCAGTAGATGTTGGCGTTGTAGCTTTTGAAGGTTAAAGACATTGACAAGCCACAAAAGCGTATTGAACCAAACAAAATCGTGTTTAACTGCATCGCTTAATAAAAATAATTTATTACTAGTATTATTTAGTGATATATTCATGTATTATTCGTTATAAATATGAAAGACACAAAAATTCCTCATCATTACTTAGCCGACTGCCAACAACCAAAAATAATTGGTAATCATTCAATGCACGAACAAATTGTACACAACCAACCCTTTGTTTGGCTACGAGCCCAATGGGGAGCCTCGGTATCGAGGATTCAATAAGAATTTGGCAATTCCAAAGCATTTCTGGCACGTAAGACTTCAATCTAAAGTGCAAGCTATGGATTCTGGCATGGCTATCTGAATTCCCAGAGTTCACATCCAATGTTTTCTTTTTTTTGTTTTCCCTTTTTTGGGACATCAACTCTTCGAGCTTTTCAATGAAGTGAACATGAAGTTGCCTGAAAACAGAGCTTCTTTATCTGCCCATTCCAAACCATCATTAGTCAAAAGCTGTAACAACAATTAATCAACAACCTATGGGAGAACTATAGTTAAAAAGTTCAAGCTTTAAGGGTAAACGTGTATAAACCGTTCTTACCAATAAACCGATTTCCATTCTCATTGATTACAGCTCTAACAAAAAATGAACAGGCAGGATTCTGTGAGACCAGTGTTTTTTTTTTTCCAATATCTTAAAGCAAGGAAGACTTTCTCTCTGACTTCTTCATATTTATTTTGGTAACTTCAGGGTTACTAAAGTTTAAAATGAAAATAAACAATTCTATCAAAACTGTCTCCAGGCTTCATGAACAGTAAGGCAATCTTGTGGAAAACCTCAGGAACAGAGACTCCCCAAGTATCTAAATCAGTATTAAACTATATCCAAGAACATATCATCGTGCTCCCTTCAGTTCATTTGTAAAACAGCTAACATCCTTTGAGCTTCATCGAAGTTTTAGCTTTCTTTTTCTTTTTTACGAAGTATGCAACTGGTTCCAGTTCTCTTTTTTTCAAATCCAAATTGAATGAATACTCAGCCCAATGGTTTCAATGAATTCTTGTTTCCTTAATTTCAGGGAAGGTTCACGAGGGTGCAATATAAACGTTCTTACATGGCATAACACCATAGTGCTAGTGGAAGACAAGCATATTGCGAAGCAGACAGATCAAGTACCTGTTAGTGATAGGCAACCTGATTCTCGACGAACATACCTTGACATTGCCTGCAAGTAACAGGAAGAAAACAACAAAAATTTAGTATGCTAAACTGACTTTTGAATTTGATATATGTTGTCCTGACGCACCAAGCATTCACCATTGAAAAAGCAGAAAACTCAAGCTGCCATGGTGCGCTACTGAGTAAAACAAGCCATGGAGGCAAAAATGGGTAAAACAAGCCAATGCTCCAGCATAGATGCCATTACAACTTCATGAAATTAAGACTAAGTCCAGGATTGCAAAAAATCATTACAAGTTCTGAGCACCCAACACTGCCCTAGGCGTTTCTTATCAGGCAGCGAAGGAAAAGGCCATTAAAATTCTTGACACTGAATTGATGAAACTTTTCTGGCAAAAGTAGGCAGATACTCACCTGAAGAGGTACTAAGGCAGCATCAGTAGGTACTTTAGACGAATCGCCATCATCAGATTGAAAAACATTCCTAAGGAATAAAAACGATGAAATTCATCAAACAGAATAGACTTGTTATTGTCTTGCTGCTAAGAAAATTATACAACAGTTCCTTGATATAATATTCAAGGTAAGCTTCAAATTTACTTCTGAGAGTAAGGATGCCATTATATAATCAACAGTAAATAACACCTAAAGTAAGAAATCCATTAAGACAAGAAAATGTCTATCAGCTCTGCTGATCAAATGAAACTACCACAGTTCAATACCAAGATAAGTATGCTGTCATCACATCAAATGACCATGTGCAAAATGATTAGGATCTGAAGCACTTAATGACAAGCTCTTACAATTGCATTTGATGGTAGAAAAATATATTGTTGTGGCCAAACATCCATCCTAAAAGTTTAAACACCGTACCTCCAGATCACATTTTGCAACTCATCCTTCTTAGCTTCAGGAAGCATGGCAGTGTCATATGCAACAATGTTCCCATAAAATATCTTCTCCAAATTCTTCATCCATTTGCCCAACAGCAATTTGACCTGCAGTTTCACAGAAAAAAGGACATGAACAAAGATAATCGTTGAACAAACAAAAAGCAAAAAGTACAGGCCATTGCAGATATGCTGACCACTCAAAACATGTACAAAAATTGTCGAGGCCATCTCCAATAAATACCACAACCAAAATTTGTGTAACTAAGAAAATCATAAATGGAAGTGAAAACAGGATTATCAGAGTTACCGCACAACCAAACAAAATCAGGAACATCAGGGTCCATTTATAGAAAAGAAAAGAACTGATTTGAGCTGATGCCTTATGCAGGTAAACAGGTTAGGATTATTCCTCCATGCAGCTTTACACAGAGCCTAGACTGACAACAAGTAAATAAGAACAAGCACCAAACTGTTGCTTTTCTTCATTATCCTTCTTTCCTTCATACCAGTGACTCCAAGTACGCGCAACTCTAGATTTCATTTTACTACCTTTCCCTATTGTGTTCATTTTATACCTGTCTGACAGTTGGGTTCATGAGTCCAAAATGTTTGCTTCCTAAACCACATCCCCCACCCATATAGTGAAGTGATATCAGAGCAAGTCACCAAACCTTTCTAAAAACCAAGAAACTGACTGTCAAACCTCAATCACTTTCACCACACTTCTGGGGAAACTTCAACATGATTAGCACTACCATGATATTGCTGGGGAAGCATGTAACATTAAAACTGAATCAAATGCCAGGAAAATTGAACAGCAAGATTCCAAGCTCTAAACAAGTATTTGGCGAGAGGTCACCAACCCCTTCCTTATCAACTCTCAATTCCACATCATGATTGTATCTCTCATACAAGTACTGCCCCAAGTCTCCTCCTTCTTTTCCTTCTTCTTTTAAGCGGCGTAATACAAGCCACATATGGAGCACAAGCAAGGCAAATGTTGTTTTAAAGGTCTTCTCCAGCCTAAATACTGCTTCACATCAAAAAAATATGATGAACATTAGAGTACTTAATCATATGTAAACTACCTGGTATTGTTAAATAACAAAAGGACAAGTAAATACAAATTCATCAGGTGATCTTGAATAGCAGATTGCAACAGATAGTAATTCATAAAAGACTAACCATTATAGATTGCCGGTTTGTCAACTTGAGAAGTAATTCGGAGGTAAATTACATTTGCCCCACGAATAGACTTGCTCTGTTTGCTATAGAAAAGCATCAGTTTAAGGATAAAACGCTTGATTCCTTCATAATGTGGCTCTTCAATTCTCAGCGGTGAATCAGCAGGCAATGCCAAAGAACAAGGTTTTGACCAGAACATCTTGTTCAAATTCACCTGCTTGAACGAACAAAATATTTTCATTCATACAACCAGTTCAAAAAACCCGAACATAGCCTGTAAATTCACCAATTCCACTTTTCAAAGGCTTATGAGATTCTAACAGCAAGAATGACCTAGACTAAAGCAAAGAAATTTACTCTTCCGACAGAAAATTTACAGAAGCACAAAAGAAACAGAAAAAAAAATTGGAATTTATTAACTAAAGAGGAAAGGAAAAATATTTCGAGGACATACACAGATTACAGAGACAATCAACTTCCACTGATGAAAACAGAGTGATGTGATGTACACTTACATCCGTTTTAGCGGTGAAGTTTTTCACGGTAGGATCAGGCACGGCGGAATCTACGGTGGCCGCAACATCCGAGTAATGAATACGTGAAGACGGATAGAAATGGGCAGCATGGACGAAGTTATTCCTCCCTGGAACAGCCCTGGAATAATTGTTAGCTGCTGCTCTCCACAATCTCCCCAGCATTTTTTGTCGTAATCTATTCTGTACGAAGGAGTACTAAGATTTCAAACAAAAAAGAAACCAATAGAACACATACTCCACTGGGTTACACTAGCAATGAGCTGCAAACCTAGGAGTAGAGATGAAGACCGAGGACCAAGGTTACTTAATTTCCGTCATCTTTGGAAGCATGATCATTTTTATTTTTATTTTATTTTTATAATTTATTTCTATTTTGTTTGGAGTCCTCCTCCTAAAACCCTAAGCTAAACTGATAAACCCTTTAATCCAAAACGTTGGTGCTAAGGTAGTTTAATCGAAGGGATGTCGGGCATCATTTCAATCAAAAGGAGCTGATCCCACAGTCTCAGTTCACTTTAATTTATTCCGCACATCAAATACCTCAATTCTCACACTTTGATTTTCGTCCATTTCCATTGTAGTTTGTGAGTGTTTTTTTTTTTATATAAAAAAGTAGATACTCTGACAATATGATATGTGTAAAATAAGAACGTAGTAATTGAAAATTTTGTCAAAAAAATATTTCAAAATTTTTTTCAAGAAAACTTGCAAACCTGATCGTTAACAATTTAACACAATGCATTGTAATATTCAAATTGTTTTACACCATGAAAGCAGGATTAAACTCATTTCAATTATCCAACCTTTGCAAAGGCAGGAAGCCCTAATGCCGAGCCTAACAAGAAAACCAAGAAGTCACCCTTTGTCGACGCATCAAACCTGGAAATGACAATCAAAAAAGGGACCGTTAAGTAAATTGACAAATTTATTAACGAAACCCATTAAAAAAATTCTAATAATGATAATAAGTTTGAGCTGCTTTTTGAAAGTCCAAAGTAAATGCTGTATCAACTTTTAAGGAAGATACAGCAAAATCAACAAGAAGCAACATAAACAGTTCGATTCTCCAGTATGGTGAAATCAGAAAATTGTTTCACCAAGTTCAGGGAATGCCTGGGTGCCAAGATAATTCCAATGAAGGTGATCCAGTACCATTCAATAACAAAAATGTTGATGAGCAAATAAGAGAACTAACAATTACCTCTTTCCAATATTCGGTTGCACTAAAAGGTTATCAGTAGAGGAGCTGAACAAAGACTTGAAAATAGATGGAAGAACATTCTGGTCTGATAATATTAGCTTCTTCTGCTGAACCACCAGGCTGAAGAACTCCCCAAGAAAGTAAACCCAAACAGCACTGTTTCCTGATAACTTTCTATATTAGAAAAATCCCACTTGAAGAAAGAGAGAACACACAAATGCAACACACCAAGGAGTCTTTATTGCAAAGTGTCATACCATTTTTACATCCAGAGGGGTTAACACGTGACCACACTGTAAATAATCCTTCAATGCAACTAATGGCGGCCATCCTTACATCCTAGAGATAGAAGAATATTCATCATATGGAAAGCAAAAGCTATGCCGATAACTTTAGTTAGACGGCAACTTTCAAAGGGATGCACTGCAAAATTCCATTTCTTGGAATTGATCAAGGAAAAACAAGTTCTTTACTCAGCCAGATGAATTGACGTCCTAAACGTTGAGGACACAAGCATATGGACAGTAGATATGACAGTCCTTATACTACTTTTTACATTGTGCTCGATATTCCTGTCAAGAATACAATGGCTGTAAAAAATGTGCTAACCTGATCATTACTAGCCAGAGGGACAAGAACAGAAGGAAATTCAGCAAGCACTTGAATTCCTAAATTCTCATCTGACTGAGAAGAAAGATGCACGAAGGAATGAAGACTCTCAACTTGGACTCGTGAAGAAACCCCTGCAAATTTTCAAACCACCCAAAATGTCCAAAAGACAAGAAATTATGATTCAAAAGCTACAAGAAAAACTTTTTTAACAAATAGAATAGGTAAAGCATATCAAACAACACACTAAAAAGCTAATTTACCACTTCTAACTCACAGAGCAAGTCTTTTACTTCTATATATCAACTCCAATATGTTTCTAAAAATAAGCTTCCTAGCGTCTGTCCACAATGCCAACAATAACAAAGACCTTAAGCTTCAGCTCTTCATAATACCAAAGGTTAACCATCAAAAACACAATCAATTTTTTGTATGTGATTTATGCATATAATGATTATAATTCCAATCTTTTACAAGCAACGTGTGCTTAAAGTTTAATGTGTAATATTTCTAGTAATATCTGCCAGAATTATGCATGCTAAAGTTTTCACAAGCTACATGTGCCAAAAATTGTTGATGTATAACATATTTTACGATATTTGTTATCAGGTTCGCAACTAATATATCTATAAACCTAAACAAAAAGCAAAACTCATGCAAATAATCATAAGAAGCATAATTCTTCTTGCTTTCAAAACTTCTTTCAGGATTGGACTGAGATTAGTGTTTGTAAGATTTATAGCCTAGGAGGTATGCTAGCTTCTATACTTCTCTGCTAAATATAATCCTAGCAGTTTAGAGTGATATAATTATTTTAAACATATGACCAAACATTGAGAAAAATGCAATTAATGATCATTCCAAGCAGTTCTACTAATAATAAACAATTTCCCTGTCCTCTTGTGATTAAAAAATTAAAAGAGTGAATTGTAATTCAATACAACCCCATTAATTCACAAAATGGTTGCAAAAGAAGGGGCTGGAAGTGACAAAAGAACAACCAAGGAAAGCATATATGATAAAAAACAGATTGAACTCAAAAAGAATTGCTAAACTACTCAAATTTTCTAGTTTAATAACTGGCAACATAATCAATTGCTCAACAGGAAAAAGAAGTGAATGGGTAACCATAAAGAAGTTTTCAACAATTGGTCATAGCTGATATGGCATACTATGCAGGCAAAGCATTTCCGAGGCTCTAATCTTACTAACATTTGGATTGCATATCAGATTACAAAAAGCATTATAATATTTCTATATCTGTACATTATAGTTTCAGAACATTATACTTCAAAAAAGCTATCACCAACAGAGATCATTAAGTGCTACAGAGATCAGACTCAGAATTTTCAATCTAGGAATAAGCTGCATTCTTTCCAAAGGCAAATGCATAATAATCTAATCTGTGCATGTAATGAAAGATATAAATTTGACAGGATAAGACAAACAATCATGACAGCAAGAATAAAAGGATTGCCTAGCAGAAACCTTCTTCAGTGAACAACTTTGGGAGAAACTCAGACAACGAGGATTTGCACTTGGTGACAAGGTGAGTAAGGTGCTTCTTGAAAAGTTGACTTGACTGAGATGCAAAGAATACATAAAGGTTCTTAAGCTTGCATAACCATATTGCATTTTTATCCTGCAAAAACAAAAGAGGACCACATTCAATAGGAAAATTTACTTAGAAAAGTCAAATGTACTCACAAGTCAAAAGGATCAGCAACAAAACTAACAGCGTCAGGTGCTGCAGTAACAAATGCCTCCACCAATCTCCAAAATAAACAAACTAGGATCTCAGAAGCCAACTCATTGACGCTGCTGTCAAATAGACGCTCGACAAACATTCTGCAATCCCCATCTAGCATTCTTAAATTGGACTGGAAAACAAGTTATCAAAATCAGCCATGCACGTAGTATATAGCGCAAAAAAATGCCGTAAAATTTTGATAACAAAAAAAAATCAAAACAATCTTAAAGTCTCGTACCGCTTCTGCAAAAGCAACATTCCCAGTTGATTCCAACATTTCCCACTCATGTTGAAGGATTGGAAACAAGGCATCATATAATGCAGAAAACTGAGCAAAATCTGGCAAACAAGAAAATGGATAGGAAAGGCGGGTGTAAGTTTAGCATAGAAGCAAATAGATTTAGAGACTAAAGTTTGCATAAACACTATGCACTACAGAGGGCAAAACTTTAAATGTCACCCAACAGGAAAAACACAGCATAATTGTCCACACTAACGGTGTTTGACTCCAATCCTTGAAAAAAAAAAGTGTTTGACTGAACTTAAACAATAACAATATACAAGGACAAAAAATTAGGTCATGACTTTTGGCAATAAAAGGTTCTAATGAAGATGTATTTTTTATTAAGGCTATACTAGATTAACAAACAAAAAGATATAGATTCAGAACTGCCTTGACTATAGATTGAGGGATATAATGGACAACAGAAAGATCTGGAATTTCATGAAAATGTCAACACAAAAAGGTTGAGAGAACTTGCTCTAGACTGGAAAGTAGCTGTTTGGAACACATCAATAGAATAACTTGATAAATTTGACTTGTTGATACTGTTACAAACACCAAAAACACGATGAAGTAATAAACATACAGCCAAACAACACAAAGGAGAATAAAAATGGAAAGCCAACATCCTACTAAGTTCAACACAAATAGCATCACATCCAGAGAGGAAAAAGAAGACTAGGCCAGATGTTCAATCTCCAATTAATAATATTTTCAGCCTTTTAGCAATCATTATAGATAAGCTTAAGTTCATTGCTTTTCTTTAGTATAAAGATATCATTGCTGAAAACAATCACATCATGATAAAGAAGAGTTCAAGATGAAAGATGGCGATGTCTACCTGGGGAGTCAAGGAGGACCTCTGTAGAACATTACATAAAGTCTAAGCAAAATTAGCTCTCCACGTCCAACCTAACTTCATTCCTACCTTTTACTTTTCCAAATTTAACCTTCATACTGTCTCGAAATAGACCGCCAAAATAAATCAACAAACAATTGGCCAATGGATAACATTGGTAGCATCCACTAGCACAAACATCATGAAACCCCCCCCCCTCTTTCCCTAGAAGAAAAAAGGTCAACAGACATCAGTCACAATGCACTCACAAGCTGTAACAAACTAGAGAACATTCTGATAAATGTTGCACGTTATAAGTGAGCCTAGGAGTTGAAATATCAATAAATAGGTTTCTAGTATACAAAAACAATTAGCAGTCACCATTGTTAATTTCTCCTACATGCTCATGAAAGAACTGTTACAGAATCTGAGAACATCTAGTTATAGCTTTCTGAAGCCAACAATACAGGTAGTCTATAGGTTAACAGTGAGGAAAAAAGTAAGATACAGCAAGTTACCTAGTTTTGGAACCATAAATGATTGCAAAAGGATTAAAAAGAGCAATGTTTTTGATAGCTGGAATCTACTGGAGCATTCCAAAAGCCAAGGTATCAACTCTTCATGGTGCATCCGAAAATTTTCTGCTAACTTGCCGATATTATCCAAATTTACTGAAGATATACGCTCAAGTCCAAATTTCTGCATCAAATTGAGATCTGACTACTCAGTAATTCATAAACTCTTGGGACGATATCTAGAAAGATCTTTAATGACCCACTTTACTTGATATCTGATATCTTGACCCAATACCAACTATCTATATACGAGAAATTGCATAGGACAATGTCTGCTCAAACAAGGTAAAAAAATCAGCCAACAGTACTTAACTTTACTGTGTTTTCCATGATAATAATGTAATTCAAGTACAGCTTCAAAGCAAGGAACGGGATTTCACTTTGCCTTGACGTCCAGCTTTAAATCAAAGACATATAGTCAGGTATTAATTTCTAATTAGGTGCACCTGTCTAAAAAAAATCTCTGAAAAAAAAAATGGTATAGATGATGGGCAATACAACTACCATTAAAGCTACATTTATAACCATGTTTCCAGTCTACAACCGAAGAAGGATTACATGCTTGGACAACCACCTCCAACAGTACCCAACCTTGTTATCATCACAACTTCCAAAAAGCTAGATTTGTTTCCACTCACTAAAAGAAAGCAAAAGGGTCCCTCCAATAAGTATTATAACCACAAAAACTTCAGCCAAGACCCTTCTTCAGACTCGATAGATTATAAAGGACATCAATTAAGCATACTTCCATTCTTTTCCAAATAAAACGAATATAATTATACTCATAAAGAGAGGAAAGGAAAATTCTTTCATCCAGTGGATGGACATATCTTGCACTGAAAGATTTTTCATGGTACATTCCAGGTTAAGAAAGACCAATTTAGAGCAATAGGCCAATAAAGATAGCAACAAGGCTATGGCTTTGAGGGAATATTACCTCCTTTGACGAGGAAAGACCGATTAGATTCCTATAGAAAGGCCACTTCAATCCCTTGGCTAGTTCCAAAGCTTTCAAATTCACTCTTTGTGTCTAGGTAGGCACCAAAGAGAGAATAGAAATCAACAAAAGAAGAAAATTTATGCAAATTCAAAAACAATTCATTCTGATCTGTAAAGGAACCTTTGGTAGGATAAGAACTAGAGGAAAAATCATTGTTGCTAGAGGTTTCATGTATTCATCTTGATCTTTAAAACTTGTGATTGCTAGCTGCAAGCATGACACAGCAACTTCACTGGCTATAGATGCTTCATTAGATGCACCTGCATTATTTAACAGGAACGTAAAAGCAATGCATAAAAGATATCTTCAACGGAAAATACTGTTTAAGAAAAGAGCTACTTATACAATGCTACTTAATAACACTACCAACTCATGACAAGTATATCCAAATTTTTCTTAAAAACTGTGAGCATATTCAGATCATTAGAACTACTTTGCACATTTGTAATGGCTATATTCAAATAGAGATTGAACCCTAAATTTTGCCAGATCCAACTATCACTTGATGGTTAAAAGCTCCAACTTCAAAGAAATGGCCACAGATTATTTTATGCGATTGTTAACACAATTATGAGTGTACCTGTTCGACATGTATTTAGCACATTAAAATTGTCAAGCTTGAAGAAAATTCAGTGAAGTAAAAAATGTAGAACCTGCACTGTCTGTTCCTTCTAGGCTGTCATTCATTATGCAATCAGCTGTGTTATCCCCTATATCACCCACCCAACAGTGCAGAATGTAGAACATGCACCACATGCAATTGTTTCGAGGGACATGATAAAGCAAAGTGCACTCACCCATCAACCAAATTTTAATGCATCTACTAAACAACAGAATGTAGAACATGCACCATATGCAATTGTTTCAAGTGATGCATTAAAGCAACGTACACTCACCCATCAACAAAATTTTAACGCATCTACTAAGCACACTCTGGATGGTGCCAAGAAGAATTGAAGGACTTATCATGTGATCTAGACTCTGCACATTTAAAGCTGCTTGAATAACAGCCAGATCATCATCTTGAAGTCGACGCAGTACTGCATCTTGAACAATGTCGAACATCTGAACAGCCAATAAAGCTAGTGTTAAGCAGCGAAAAGGAGGTGGGTGCAAAAATGAAGATTGGATCTTGCATCCACTAGACACGTAAAACTTCAAACACCAAAATAAAACTTAAACAACAGAGACAATGAAACATTAATATCCCACAAGGGAGATTTCAAAATCTACATACAAAAAATTTAAATTCTATTGAGCTACACAATTATGTGGAAAAATTAATATATCACCTTCGAATTAACAGCCTTATATCTCAGAATTCCACCTGCATCCAACCCCAACACTGCAGAACGGCGTACCTCGGCCTGTCAATAAAAATATAAGTCAAGAAAACTGCAACCTGGGTGTCAAGAATATCCAGGACATAATAGATAACATCGATCTATATAATTAAATTACTAAGAAATAAACAAACATCAATTGCATCTGGTGAGAGCGTGATTTGCTAAGCGGTGGACAAGATTGAATCATCACTGAATGGAAGAAATGATACCTTTGGATGTTCGAGCGCAAACCAAGTTTTTGAATCAGGAAATTCTAATGAGAAATCACCATCTCCATCTAAAATCCTGGAAAGGATTTCATGTTTTGATCCATCTTTTCCAGATTGCACTTCAGTATCCTAGATGGAACAGAAAAATAAACACCAAATAGGAATATTTGTTCAATACAAGATAGCTCCAGGAGAAAGAGAGGTTCAATTGAAATATGTACACATGAATTTGCACCAGTAGACAAGTGTGCGTGCCTTAGCATGTGACTGTCTGCATTTTTTTAATGTTGAAATAGAAATTAAACTAGAGAATTAAGACCAAATAAACCTGAAGAATCTTGTGAATAGCTTGGCGTAGCTCCATGGGATATTTTTTATATAGAGAAACTAGAATTTCCTTAGGTTGGCTTCCCACTACAAAATGCAAATTGCACAGTGAGACAGAATAAAGCTTAATAAACACCAAGAAAAAAAAAAGAGAATTCAAGAAAAGAATAGCCCTGAATACAAATCTTGACACAAAAACAGCAGAAAGAATGCTCTGATGTTCAAAGAGGATAACCTGATTCCGAAACATTTGACTGATCCATCTTTTTGGATATAGTTGAGCATACTTCCAGCAGTTTGGAGACCACATGATCAACATGGAATTTCAAAGGAATGGACTCCAATAATGAAATCAAAGTGCAATGGTAGTTCTGGTCAGCAAAACTGCAGGTACGAGACTTGGTATTCAGGAAACAGTACTTTTGTTGAAGTACATACATAATACATTTGGAAAGCCATGAAATTCCCAACCTGTACTCAGAACTGTACTGAAGAAGGGAGTCCAGGAAAACAGTCAGGAACTTGTCAATATTGAACTCCTCAGTCAGTCCACCAAGAACCTCTGAAATACATCTTCAAATTCAAAGGCAAAAACTTGATACATTAAGCATTAGAAAGATATAAACAGATATTCACACCAAGAAACAGTATCTATTCCTTTTATGTATTTCTGCATGCACCAAAGTCTAAAGGTATTTGAGAAATACCTGATTTTTACAAGGATATCAACACTGTTCCTGGGAATCTCCTTCAGACTTTGCAACTAATAATTTCAAGAGGAAGTGAGGACAGAAATTGACAGATGGTAAACAGAACCAATCAAACAAATATCTCCAATTTCACATAATAGAGTTCTTTAGCCACCATCTAAGTGTTTAAAATAATGCCAACGACACATTAGCAACAATCCCCATAACATGACAAACAAATTAAAGCAAAATGACATCACCAGATTTTATGCAATGAATACTTGTTGCATTAACTTCCATGCTTTTCTGTGTCTAATCTTGCACCAGGAGCTTAAGGAAGAACAACAATACTAAAGGAATATTAAATTGAAGACAAAGACATATTCAGAAAGCTTAAACCACAAACCAATCAGGACAGTCTCATTTTGTTAGCATGCCTGACTAAGAGTTTAATTGTACCTGAATGATATTAATCAACGCCATCAATGACATGCGAACCCATTGCAAATCATTTGCCTGTTTTGCACAGTCTTGAGCAACAACAACGACCAAGCGAATCAACGCTCTACGAGGTTCACGAGCTAATGCCACTTTTTGGGCCAGTAAACCAACAATCATCAGTGCCCCTGCCTAGCAACAAGGAGATCACAATCAGTAGAAAAAGGACGTAATTAATGCATATATGGTCAAACATACGTGCATGTACTTACACATAGAGCATTATATGTTCTATCAACTCTTAATACAGGTTGCATAACAACAAACAACAAAATATGCAAATTTAACTGGCATGAATTTGGACCAAGTCACATGAAGACACGAGAACGTGAGAAAAATGGAAATGATATCATCAAGTTCCGCAATGCATCTGATCCCACACTTGTACATCCACACCCACACAACATGCCAATCCTCACGCACCCACACCCAGAGAGAGAGAGAGACCTTCTGTTGCAGTTTCTCTTTGGGACTGGATTCAAGTCTAGAAAGAACATATTGAAGAATTATCCTCAGAGCATCACTGTTAACAGCTGGCAATGAGCCCAGAACCTCCATCATAATTGCGGTACAAAAATCAGCAGCAATCTTTGGTTGAATCTTCTTTGGCCTTGCCTGTAGAATTTACAAAGTTCACACAATTATAACAGGAGTTCCAAAAAAAATTAACACCACACACAGAAATAGCTACTTACATATTCAGAAATGGCATCCAAAACGCCCAGATCCCGCATGCACTGTTGCACAATAACCTTCCTAGGTGGTGGTGCACCTGATGCTTTGACACCATCCAGAAAGTTCCATCTACCATTTCTGCATCAAACAGAATTTGGGAGTTCTAACTATCAAAATTTATTTTTTTTGAGATTTTTGCCACATGCAACACAAGCACATACGTATACACACATACACACACATAGATGGATCACCCAACGTGCTGCTCTTGCTCCATTTTAACCTTTTTAACAACAGAACTTGCAGCAGAATGGCAAGCACCTAATTGTGTTGCACTTCACAGCATGCATTCACATATTTAAAGAGATCAAAGTAGAGCTCCTCACCCTGTATCAATTAATTGCAAAATTCGAACAAACTCATGGGTATCATGGTACGGCAAAGTGCATAAAATCAGTTCTTCTGCGTTGTAGATATGAATCCTATATTTGAGCAAAAAATCAAAAGTGAAAACAACGTCAGGAAACCGTAGATAAAATCAAAAGTGAAAACAACGTCAGGAAACCGTAGATAATGACAAGGCCAGCAGGAAATAACAGTAGTAACTCTTACTTGTATCTACGTATCAAGTACTCAAGTGTCCTTCGAGCAGCGACCAATTCAAAATGGTCAGACAATAACCTCAAATATGAAGAAATGTCATTATTAATTTGATTATTTTTGTCAATACCCATTAGCTCCCTGTCCAACTCCCTACTCTTGTGACCGAATAATGTACTCTTGTAGTTCCGAAACCTCTCTTCTTTACTAATTAGAATCTCCAAACCTGAAAAGGCGATGATAAACACACAAACTCCAGAAGGGCAAATAATTCAAAAGCGAATATTGAGAATTGATAAAGATATTAATTTGTTGTACCGGAGAGAGCAAGGCTAAAAATGGTGTCGATGTCGATGTCCGCAGCATCTTTGGGATTAAATAGAATAGAAGGTCGAGTAAAGGGTTTCTTGGGCGGCTCAGTGTCGACTTTTACCACTGACTTGAGTGCCTGTAACTGCGAAGCTATTGAAGTCGCCATTCTTGTTCAGTACTTGAAATATCTATAGGTTCCTTCAAAAATATTTCGGGAAACTGAAGAAAAGATTCGAAAGAGGTGTTGCCGCAGGGTGGAGAACGGTGGACGTCAAAGGTTTATGCGGACCAACCGCCCATGAAAGATGGCGCAAGGGTTTAGGGTTTTTCCAGTTAAGCGGCTGTTCGGTTTGGGATGCGGGAAAGCGCCACCGTACAGCCCGGGTAATTTTTTTGGAAAATAGATGAGAATCAAATTATTGATTATCACTGCCCCCGTCTATAAATATAAGTTGGCGTTTGGTTCGCACATCGGTATCAGATTCGAATTCGGAATCGAATATCTTGGATTTAGAATGAGATCATTCATTCTAATACATTTATTTGATTCAAGTGCCTAGAATGTGTATCATTATTATAGTTGATGTTTGATTCGTCGACTCTTTTGGAATAGAATATAATAAATATATATATAAGAAATTTTCACTAATTAAATATATTAGTATAAATGTATTAGTAAATTTAGTCTAACTAATTAATAATTTCTATTAGTAAACATGTATAATTATTAGTATAATTGATAAAATTAATTATATTACATAAATTAATATACATTATATAATACATATAAATAATAATATAATACATTATATTATTAAATATTATATATATAATTAAATATAAATATACAAATGTTATAATATAAATATAATTATATAAATATATAATATATACAAATGTTAATTATACTAATATTTTATATAAATATAATATATATTACATATTAAATATAGTTATTGTTATATATTATTATATTTAAAATAATAATTATAATTATATAACTTATTAATATTACATACACGTATATATTATAATTATATGCACATATAATATACATTTATAAATATACATATATATTATAAATATAATAGTAATAAATTTATAATATATATTATATAAGTATTATTATATTTAACTAAATAATTATAATATATAATTATATAATATAATAACATCATTATTATAAGTTTGTAACTAATAAAATTAAATATTAAATATATAATTAATTATAATTATACAAATGTTATAATATAAATATATAATTATAATTATATAATATATAAATATTAATTGTACTAATATTTTATATAAATATAATGCATATTAATATTAGATATAGTTATTATTATATATTATTACATTTAAAATAATAAATACAATTATAATTATATAATTTATTAATATTATATACATGTATATATTATAATTATATGCCAATATAATAAGCATTTATAAATATACATATATATTATAAATATATTATTATATAATATTAATAAATTTATAATATATAATATATAATTATATTTATATTTAACTAAATAATTATAATATATATTTATATAATATACTAGTATTATAATAAAATATAATAATAATAATAATATATTATATATATGTATATATTATAATATATAATATATATAAATATTAATTATACTAAATAATATGTAATCAGTAAAGAAATCTTGGAATCACACTTGGGTTTTGGACAAAACCCACCCTTCTACTAAGGAATGGAGAGACGCCAAATTTTTAGAAATCATTCCAAGATTTCAATTCTCATTCCAGTGAACCAAATACCAATTATGGAGTTCATTTCATTCTCTTATTCCGATACCTTTTTACCAAACGCCCCTAAATTCGCTTACCGTTTTACATTTGTTTCAAATTATAGGCATACTTTAATTTTTTTTTTTAAGGCTAGTTAATATATAAATTTATTGTTTTGTCAATAGTTAATGTGCATCTTAATAGACAAATAAAATATTCTAGCCATTTTATCTGTTTCGAATTATAGGCACACTTTTTTTAAAGGATAGTTAATATAAAAATTTATTACTATATCCATAGTTATTGTGTATCTTAATAAGCAAATATTTATAATATTCTAAATATTTATAAGTAACAGAGGACCGACATGTAAGGAAAATACTAAATATTGAAATTTATGTTAATTACCTTTGAAGAATTATGGCCTTGTTTGGAACCTTGGTTTTTAGTCAAGTTTGTTTCCTACTAGTTTTTTAACAACTTTTGCTACAGGAACCCCAAAAAACCTTCCAAAAACTCACACGGCTCCCTTGTTACACGTAAAGAGGATGACGTCGTTTTTCACTTTCCCTTTCAGTACGAAACCCACACTTGCACTTCGGTAAAGCAGACTCTTCACCGTGCATTTTGAAATCACAGAAACCTTGCCCTATACAGTAAATTGCACCCCAACTCAGCTGAGCAATTCGACGAAGTGTGGAGCCGATCGGAGCAATTGGACGCGGCGGCAAACAACTGGAGCTGGTGTCAACCCATTCATTGTTCTTTGTGTGGTCCAAGCTGAAGGTACCGACGGACTTGGAAGGAGCAACCAGCTGAGGAAAGTGCGACCTGCTGTGTCTGTCTCTCCACAACGCTCGGCCTCAAACATCACGGCTGGAATGAAGAGTGTTTAAGGAAGACTGTTGTGCTTCCATTTAGGTTGATTTCCTAAATCCCGTAGCTTTGAATGGAGGTTGACTTGCAATTTAATTTTTTTTTTCGCCCGTGAATTCCAGTCAACAGTGCATTTTATATTCATTGATTACCTCCTACAATATGGCGTACTAGTCTCTTGGATTAATTTGAATTTTGGTATTAAATATGCTAATTTCTTAAGAAGGGCTGCTTTGTTAGTTTGACAGCTGAGTTGATTGCCATGTTTAGTATTGATTACTGCTGAGTTGATAGCTGAGTTAAATGAATTGTTCCACCACGCTCTGTTTTGGACATGCTAGTGGTATGAAAATTGCTCTCTGTTTTGAGAAAGGCTGCTGATTATTTCACGTTTGATGAGTGCCATGGGTTGATTAATTAGGCTGTGTGTTAATTAATTCATTCAGGTTGCTCTGTAAGAATTAATTTGGTTGCTGAGTTCATTAAATTCTCTCTTAAATTTGGCTCTGTGTGTGAATTAATGTTGGAAGCTGAGTTTAGTAAATTTGCCTGCAGCGTTGATTAAATTTTGTGTTGAAGGTTTGCCTGCTAGAATCTTTGAATTTTAAGAAGCCAGTTATTGATAAAATCTATAAAAATCAAACTTTGAATTTCCTAATTCTAATCAAGTGGTCCAATTTACGTTCTTCTTGACCCTTTGGATACACCTTTTTCCTTATCCATATCAGTAAGAGTAGATTACTCAATACTGTATAAAAAAAAGAATAAAAATAAAATTGGTCATGGCTGGGATGTCTAAAATGGACCACTGCTTGTCTATTCTAAGGTTAATTAGGCCCAAACCAATCAATGCTGCTGATTTTATCCTCTATTTGTTGTCTTTTCACGTTTTATTTCCATCAAAGGTTACCTAACTGCTTGGGTGGGAAACTCCATGCTTGCACGAATGCACGTTTCATCCTCTGTTTGGGGAAGGCTCATTAAGTTGTAATCAACTTTTTGGTTGTTCCTGCGGCATTAAGAGCTGCTTCAATAGTTTTCCCCTGCTTTTGACTTCTTTAGCTTATATGAAGCTGAAAATTTTTAGACCCATTTGTCCTTGTTATACAGAGGAGCTCTAAACTTCTAGTGTTTGCTTTTTAATGTTTTGAATATGGAATTTCATCTCTCTCTTTAGCGTATTTTTCTGTTATGTTATGCATTTAGGTAATTAAGTTGTATTCCATAATTTGAGATATAGGCATGCATTCTTTTGTTAACAGGTTTATGCCGCCGCGCACTAGGTCCATTTCTAGAGATTTGTTTTTGGGGTAAAATTTTAGATTATTGCATGTTGGACTGTTAGTAACAGTAAGGGTTGATTTTCGCTTCATCTCACAGTCGGAAAACTCATACTTGGCGATCCTGTTAGCACTACTTGGTCAGAGTGTGGAGAGAACAACTTACAGCTTTGCATCACCAATTACTTCAAGGTATAATTTAATTCGTCTCTTTTTGCAATCGTGGCAACTAATTTCACTGGTTAACTATTTCCTTTTAGTTGTTCATGGCATGGCTGCCCTAGTTGTTCATGGCTATTATTACCACGATTTTCACCTGTATTACTTCACTATGTATTGTATATGCATTAGGGCTATAGATGGCTGTCAATTTCTGTTTAGTATCTTTAACGTCCAGTTGTCGCTAATCTTATTTGTCCTACATAAAGTGTAAAAAATAAATGGCTGGTAAGGTTGGTTCATCAAGACAAAGTTGCGCCCAATTTCCAATGGAGCGAGAGCTTGAATTTGCGGAGTACTTGATTGAAATGAAACGGAGTAATAGAATGAACAAGGGCAACTTAAAGAGCGAGGTCTTCCCAGCAATTGTTGATAAATTTGCCAAAAATGGATGCTACTTTGATCCAAAGCAAATTAAGGCGAAATATTATGCATTAAGGCATCTCACACAAGAATATAATCACATGCGGTTGAGGGTGACTGGGGCTGGATAAGATCCCCTCCTCTAGACTGTAACCATGGACGAAAGCAAATAGGAAGCTACGATTAAGGTAGAAAAATTAATTTTTGTTATTCATCATAAGCTTATGAAGTGTAACAATTATTTTTTTAACATCTTCTAATGGCTGATTTTTGGTGTTAAATGTGTAGGAGAACCCATCTTTTGAGACATTTCACAACAAAGATTGCCGTGTCTTCTACCTGTTATCGGAGGTGTTTGATAAAATGGATGCCCAAGGTCGATATGCGAGGGACTCAAACCAGCCACCAATAGACATCAATGATGAGATAAGGGCGAGGCAAAGTCAAGCATATCACAATATGGGTGGCCAGGGCCTGGAGCACGTGGACCTGACTAATGAAATGATCCCTCCTGCACTTTCAACTGCGAAATCGGATGCCCAACATTCAAAAAACAAAGGCAAGGGGAAGAGGAAGACTCCGGAATCTTCATCCGTCGAGGACGGCGACCTCCCGCCTGGTCTAAGTCGCACCTCCTACAATAATGTCATATCTTGGATGGATGCAACGTTTGCTTCCGATCGGAGCACCTCCAATACCGTAGATGCCCCACCACCCCCACCTACTGCTACTCCAGCTCCTCCTCCTCCGATTTGGATCATTTTAAGACGATTTGATAAACTTTCGACATTTCGAATATGCACTTTTCGAGACAGTTAATAATAAATAGGATTTCTATTTTAATATATGAGTTGCTCCAACTAACTCACATATTACTTGCATTGAGGCATTTGGGCCTTAACCCATACTTTATTTCTCATGCAGGTGTTTTGTCTCTAAATAGGATAAATGGCCAGCGCTCCACCCAATTTTGAATTGAATTTAGATGACCCAGAGGATGCAAGGAGAGCCGCAACTGCTGTGTTGATTCTACAGTGACATTTTCAAACCCATCAGGTTCCAAGGACAATGCAGAGGGTCCACACGAGTGCCATGACTGGTGAGGGTTGGGTTCAGGATCTATTGGGAGGAATGTGCATTAGGATGCTTAATAACATGCGCATGAATGTGCCCACATTTATTCAACTATGCCGGATATTGTGAGAAGGTGGATATATTACTCAAGGCCTCTGTGAAAAAGTGACTTTGGAGGAAAGCGTAGCAATTGCCTTATATGGTCTGAGCCATGATTTGACACAAAGAGTGCTAGGTGAACGATTCTAACATTTCACTGAGACAATTCATCGACAAGTACGCCGCCTATGCCAGGCTTTAGTCCAATTAGTACCTATTGCACTCTGACATAGGGACACAGAGACTACTCATCCTCGGATTCGAAATAATAGACGATTTTATCAATGGTTTAACGTACGTGGCCGCATCTTAAAACTCGTAAGTTAAATTTATGACTAATTTGCATTCAAATTCAATGTTTAGGATTGCATTGGGACTATTGATGGAACACATGTCTTGACAAGCGTGTCAAGAGGGGAACAATATGCCTTTCGTAACAGAAAAGGCACGCTTTCACAGAATGTTTTAACTGCATGTGACCACGATATGAGGTTCGTATATGTCAGAGCTGGCTGGGAAGGAAGTGCCCATGATAGTCGTGTCTTAATGGATGCTATTTCCAATCCGGATGTAGCATTTCCCGTACCACCGGTTGGAAAATATTACGTGATTGATGCAGCGTACAGACACATGCCAGGATTCATGGCCCCTTCAAGAGTGGTCCAGGAGGGAAGATCACAGACTGCCCACAAAGGTGAATTTAATCGCCGCCATTCTTCGGCTCGAAATATAATAGAGAGGACATTTGGGGTATGGAAAATGAGATTCAAAATTTTGGATGCTCCAATGAAAAACTATCCTATTGAGGTACAGAGGAACATTGTAGTGGCGTGTTGTGTACTGCACAATTTCATTAGGGAGATACAGCCATACGACGTCTACTTGGCGAATGAAGCGAATATGGATGACGCACATACCGCAGGAGCTCAAATACCTCAATTGCACGTCACTCCAGAAGCACTCAATGATTGGAAGGAATTACGAAATGCAATGGCTGATCACATGTACCTTCACCGAAATGAATAGTATATAATTGCCACGCTTGATTTCCACGTAGCTCGAACTATTTTCAGTTGTATAATTTGAATCTTTTTTAATATTTGGGATTTTGACTTGGTAATGAACAAATTTAAGCCTTGTGGTCAAGGTTGGGTTAACGGATTCCTTTCCACTTGAGTTTTTGTAATATTTTCACAATCGAAGGTGCTAATTATTTTGTTATATCAAATTATTTGCATACAGGTGTGAGATTTTATGTGCAAGTGAAATATAAGAAAATCTCCATCTGTCAAAAAAAAATTTTGTTTTTTTTTGGAACAAAATCACCATAAATTCTCACAAAATCTAAGGCCCAGCAAAGTTGCTTTAATGTGATGATTAAAGGAGTTAATTAATACCTTCTTAGTCCTTGGATGCATAGCATTGATACCTCGAATGCGAACAAGAGGAAAAGCAACTTGGCTTCCGGATTGGAAAAAATGTAATCATTATTTTGATGCAGTAATATAGAGCACAATTTTTGGATATAGGGAGAAAAAATTTAGGGAGGGAATTTTTTTTTTAAGTTATAAAAAAAAGTTTTAAAAATTAAAAAATTGCTACAGTAAAGTTTTTAAAAAATTGCTACAGTAAAGTTTTTAAAAAATTGCTACAGTAAAGTTTTAAGTACAGTAAGTTTTTTCTACTACTTCTACAGTGATCTACAGTAAAGTTTTAGACAAATTTCAAAAAACTTAGGTTCCAAATGGGCCCTATGTGTGTGTATGTATATATTTGTGTATATTGCATCATCTCAAGTTAGGACAAGTTTAAAAGAATAAACTTTGATTAATAAGAGACATAATAAGTGAGTTTAGATAGGAAATTATTAAAAATATTATTAAAAATAATTATTATATCATTTTTTTATATTGTCATGTAAATAAAAAATAATTAAAATATAAATAAATAATTGAAAAATATATTTATAATATAAACAAAATAATATTTTGAAAAAACTTAACTATCTAATATAGAAAGAGAATATAACTAATATAATGTCTACTTCTTGTTATGTCACAAAATTTTCTCCCAATTACTTCATTTTGTCGTAACAAAAGTGGAGGATAAAAGATGACATTGGATGCAATTATATGACTAAGTAATATTTTGTCGAGCCTACAAGATTACTATTTTTTTTTAATTTAGATAAGTTTCCAGCATTTTATTGTTGAAAATTCGACTAAGTACAGTATATTTAGAATGCATGAATTTACCCCATTGCCCTCTAAAACTGTTTGAAGGCCATTTATAGGGCAGAATTTTATGGGATAATTTTAGAACCTCCCTCAAGATTTCTAATAATTTTACTTGTCTCCCCTAAGATTTATAAAATAGCACTAACCTCCCTATAGTGTCTTATTGAAGAAAAATTACTAATATACCATCGAATATTATATTTTATTGGAAATTAACATCTGACAATTAAGTAATTAGGGCACTAATTAATTGTTAATAACCAATAACAAAAATAGTTGTTGAGACTTTTTTTAATGATGAACAATAGCCAGTTGCAAAATGTTGCCAATTGATGTGCCAAATATTTGTTCACTCTTATAAATTGATACATCAAATAGTAACTTGTCTGGATTTTTTTATACTCTCAAAAATCTTTACAGTTACCTTGCAATTATATTTGCAATATTTGTTCTTAATGCTAAAGGATGTGGGTGAATTTTATGATTTCTTCTTATAACTTGATAGTGTTATAGTTTATGCACTTATACTTCACTTTCATCTTAGAAAATTCATGCAAAATCACTATTTTTTCACCTCAAATTTTGCTATTCCAAGTGAAAGTGAGATCTATTTTAATGCATCATGTTTTCTTTTTATATGCAAAATAGTAAAGATCTAAAAAAAATAGCCGTTGTAATCCAATTCACTAGCTGTTCGTCTAGTTTTGTAGAAAAAATCAGTCATTACCTTTTTTTTTGTTATTTACTATTTGCACTTACATTCCCTTACTTTTATTAATATATTTTTCATGTCTTTACAATACAATTTATACACAAGCAGAAAAAAAGGCATTTGTGAGAGAAAACATTTATTTCTCTTTTCAAAATACTTTTTTAATAGTACTTTTTATGATTTGAACTGATTTTGTTACAAAATCATAACTTAAAGGGAGGTTAATGTAACTTTACAAATTTTAGGGGAAGTTAGTGAAATTATCCGAAACCTCAAGGAAGTTTTCTGAAATTATCCCAAAATTTATTTGCGTGCCGTAAATTTCAATATTTGAAAACACTTCTCATTCCATACCATTTCCGGTTTCCAGTTTCATTCTATTTTCACTCCCCATAGAAATGCACCAGTTTTCAACTGTAGACCCAAACGAATCATCAAGAAGTTGCAGATCCCTTCGCCTACTCGCATATCAGCTTTAACTGCTTGCCCTAGACCTCTTTCCACAATGCGGGTACTTGTCTAAGTTGGGTAGCTTTCATACTTGGATGCTGAAAATCCCAAATTTAAATCATCTTACCTTCGAATGGAGTTTACCGAGCCTTACAAGCAGAGCGGGCCGTGTTCTTTCTCGCCCAATGCTCGGTTTATTGCTGTCGCAGTCGATTACCGTCTCGTGATTCGCGATGTACTCACACTCAAGGTGTTTTTTCTGTCTCCCTTATAAAGAGCAAAATTTTACTTAATTCCTCGTCCTTTTTTTTTCCCATTTTTGGTTCGAGCGTTTGAAATTAAACGTAATGGATTGTCAAGCTTCATTTGTTAGCGCTCGTTTATGTGGGATTTTCATTTGACTTAGTAGTGATGTAGCACTGTTTAACAGTCTGACAAGTTCTCTCTATTTATCGAATATTTATTGTAAATTTTGTCACCATTTTATAAATTTGACAGCTTGATCGACAATAAATCGAGCTACTGAAGCTCATTTTAACTTGACTCTTAATGCATTGTTGTGAATTAGGCTTGAAAATGTGGTACTTGGTTCGATTGGGATTGCCTATGCTCGGAGGCGAAATATAGCCAAATCCTGTATTTAGCTAAAATGAATAGACTGGTTTATAATTTGCTTTGGCATTCAACTCAAGTTTATTCGTTTTGAGTTGTAATTGGTGCAGGTGGTGCAGCTGTATTCATGCTTGGATAAGATTACATACATTGAATGGGCTCTGGATTCTGAGTACATACTTTGTGGTCTCTACAAGAGACCAATGATACAGGCGTGGTCGTTGACGCAACCTGACTGGACGTGTAAGATAGACGAGGGGCCTGCTGGTATTACTTATGCAAGATGGAGTCCAGACAGTCGCCACATACTTACAACATCTGAATTTCAGCTCAGGTTGACTGTGTGGTCACTCTTGAACACGGCATGCATACATGTCCAGTGGCCAAAGCATGGCTCTAAGGGGGTCTCGTTCACCAAAGACGGAAAATTTGCTGCAGTTTGTACGAGGCGTGATTGCAAAGATTATGTCAATCTGCTCTCTTGCCATACGTGGGAGATAATTAGTGTCTTTGCTGTTGACACGTTGGATTTGGCGGATATTCAGTGGTCACCTGATGACAGTGCAATAGTGATATGGGATTCTTCTTTGGAGTACAAGGTATTCTACTGTATAATATTGTGCCATCAACATCATATTTTTCGTATTCTTACTTGACTTCCTGGAGAGATTACACTTTCTACAATTATAGCTTTCATGTTATATGATCTTTACACTTGTATGATTTCTCTTATGGGAAAGTTTCATGTTTTTTGTCTCTGCAAGTTCAGAATATAGGAAATGTTGTCTAACAGAGGGATTGTGGGAGATTGACTCCCCAACATCTTACGATGGATTTAGTGCTTTTGTTGATACTTCCTGGTCCTTCATCTTATAATGAACTGGGGCTTGTTAATTCTGAAGCTTATATTAGTAATGTTCCTTCTTGTGCACGTGGATGAAGGACCATCCCCAGTGAATAATGCAAAACCTATTAAAATTTGCTAATATTTGTTAGTGAAGTTAGTTGATCACATACTCTTGCGGTCTTCCTTCCGTATTGTTTCCTTGATTCAAATTTGTGGGATATTTATGTTTTGCAAAGAAAAGTAGTTCCAAATTCTTTAGTCTTCCATTTAGATGCTTGTATAATGGTTTGTGAGTAGTAGCTACAATTGGACTTTGCATCAGACAAGTTTTCGCTTGCCATTTTTTATGTTTAACTTTTAATTTAAGAAATCATTTGTAGCTGGATGATGTTTATATTTCCTTTGCATCATCTAGATTTTGATATATTCCCCAGACGGGCGTTGTCTTTCCAAATATCAAGCATATGAAAGTGGACTAGGTGTCAAAAGTGTTGCATGGTCCCCTTGTAGCCAGTTTCTAGCAGTAGGAAGTTATGATCAGATGCTGAGGGTTTTGAACCACTTGACATGGAAAGTATTTGCAGAATTTACACACCTATCGACTGTACGTGCACCTTGTTCTGCTGCTGTTTTCAAGGTAGGCTGCTTAATTGGTTGTTGTGGGTGTTGTGCTCAAAATGATCATTATGTTACTTGGATCTAATTCTCTTGTCTTTCTTGTATCGTAGGAGGTGGATGAGCCCTTGCAACTTGATATGTCGGAATTAACATTAAGTGATGATCTTGTGCCTCAAAGTGGTGGTAAGAATTAATCTTGTTTTTGATGGGTGAAATCCCATCTACTTCTTTAGAATCAAGTAAATCTGCTTAACTACTATATTCTTTGAAATTGCAGCATATTGCTGTGTTCTATCTTCACTGTTTTGTTCTTGATGGATTGACTGTCAACTCATACTAACTTGCAACAAAGAAGGAACTAAAGCCCGTAGGGACTTCAAATTTTGTTTGTTGTTCGTTAGATGCTTTTCTCACCCTTACATGTTTGGAAGAATGATTGGACTTTGCTCTAGTTGAGAGTTTGCTTCTGGTGGGATGGTTGTTAGCGAAAGCTACTTTTGGGATTTTGTTGTACCATTGGTTTTCTGTAGTCTGATGTTGTCTTTTATCGTTTTCCGCTTTTCAGATGATGCTCCTGAAACACGAATTGAAGTTAGGTATGATGTGATGGAACTGCCAATCAATCTACCTTGCCAGAAACCTCCAGCAGATAAACCAAATCCCAAGCAAGGAATCGGTAAGCTAGAATCTGAATCCTATCATGGATATGCAATAGACTAGTTCTCATCCCCAAATATTAATGTGACTTGAAAAATCGTATCCCTTTCTGTGGATTTTAGACATTTGGATTATAAGCAATGGGATGTGTTGTTGCTTTTACTTTCCATTGAATTACCGGAAAGAAGTTGAAATAACCTCTGCTTATTTAGAAGGACAGAACCCTGTTTTCTCTGTTTCTCATATCTCGATGCAAGGGAACTTGAAAATCTATTAATGGTGGCGAGGCAATGGATTGGAACCCTTAGCTATTCTTTGAGACATCATTGCTGTTTGTTTGGTTTGTTTTTCTTTTTCCAACAAATGATTAAGAGAATTTGGAATGGCACTTCTGAATTGTGAATGATTACAAAAAGCTTTGTGGAATGATAACTTTTCAGTTGTTTTGATCGGGTTATTATTAACTGCCCATGCATGTTTCCTGAAAACTCATTCTGTTACTTTGGTAAACACCTACTTCTTCCTAAGCTTTCTTTACATGCCAAAACAAATTTATAGGTCTCGTATCATGGAGCAGTGACAGCCTGTACATCTGTACTCGCAATGACAGCATGCCCACTGTCCTCTGGATATGGGATGTACAGCATCTTGAGCTTGCTGCCATCTTAATCCAAAAAGATCCTGTTCGAGCAGCTGCCTGGGATCCAATATGCACACGATTGATTTTATGCACAGGCAGCTCCCACTTATACATGTGGACACCTTCGGGTGCCTATTGTATAAATGTTCCTCTAACCGATTCCTCTGTAACTGACCTGAAATGGAATTTTGATGGAAGCTGTCTCCTTCTCAAGGACAAGGAATTTTTCTGCTGTGCCGCTGTGCCCATGTTACAAGAATCCAGTGATTATAGTTCAGATGATTGATGGCGTTTGGATTGCGAACTGGGTAGTGTCATTCTATGGATTCGGTGGTATTGCTTGATATATTATTGTAAAGATCTGTTCTTGCCTGTATTAACAGCCCAGAAATGTGTTCCTTTTTACAGTTGAGAATCAATGGTAAATCCAGCATTACAATTGAGACTCAAAGGTTGGATCTTTTGTAGGATGAGGATGTAAAGGCTGAATACCAGTGGCATTTACCGTTATGATCGAATTAGGGTGGCACGTGGACTAATAGCTGATCGAGATTAGAATTTTACTGCGATCCCTATTGGCCAAATAACGTACACATTGCTTAAGAAAAACAGCTTACTATAAGATGATGATGGTAGTAACTTCCGACTATATTTTTCCTCAATTAAGTGAAAAGGTGCTTTCTAGCTAAATCGGAACGAGTCCTAATGCTGTTAAAAGTTTCGCAGCGTATACTGCGAAACTTTATACCCCTTTGAAAAAAATAATCACTGGTAAAAAAAAATATAAGAATTAAACCATCCTCATTTTGTGCCAATATTCTGGATAGCAAAGTCAAAAGTATTCAGATAACATGTGAAAGAAGGAAGACGAACGATTTGAACTCGGAAGTCTTCAGATCATGAGCATGTGGAGGTTATTAAAGAGGTACGTTCCGAAAACCCACATGAAGTGAGAGATCCTATTGCAGCAACGGGGAAGATAAAAAGCTCCTAAAACAGCAAGCTTGCCCAGGCACCAATAAATGCGAATCCACCAAAAGGAGCCATGGTAGCATACTTTCTGTCTTCAAGGTAGGCAACGGCATAACACGTCCCAGAGAAGGCCAGAATTCCAGTCGTCAAAAGTGCCCCAAAAATGTTAGGGCGAGTGGTCGTAGGAGCAGCCAGAAGGGCTGCTGTATGAACCAAATGGTATAGGGATGCTGTATACCAAACCTCTTTGTAAGCAGGATTTTTGGGCTTGAAGGCATGAAAACCGTAGGTTCCCAACCCAAGCGCTGCCATACCGGAGATGGCAGCAATTTTGTGCCAGAGACGAGGATCCATTACCTCAATCGGCTTCATCTTTGATTTTGACGGATGAATTTATTGACTTTCCTGTTTAGACTTTAGAGTGCCGTATTGGGTTAATTCCTTTTTGTCAACTGAAGCATCATAAGTTCATAACAAGAATGGTGATCTACCCCGATAAGACACTGAAGAAACTAAGCAAATTTTAATATTATGTGTCTGCTTGACTCTCTCCTTGCAAAATTTTAATAGTATATGCTATGATGTAGCCTGATCTCTAAGCAATTTCCCGATCGGTATAGCCTTTATATATATATATATATATATATATATATATATATATAAAAGTTATCTTTTATCCCCTATAGTTATACTATATCATATAACCTCTTATGATTTGCCTCACCTGATCAGTTCGTTTGGTTACGGAAGCTCCTCACAGTTGTCTATCTCCCACACTAGGAATCGAGTCCCAGGGTTATCGTACCCGAGGGGAATGGGCCTTTCCTTTCGGGCCGGGGAATTAATCGGACCGCAACCTAGATACCCCCTTCGTCCAGAAAAAAAAAAAATATATATATATATAACCTCTTATGATTTAAAAATATATGTATAAAGAATCGTGGTTAGTTTTTTTGTTAAAACTAATGGTCAATAATAAAAAATCATAGTCAAACTAATAAGTTGATAAATTTACTCTTTTCACCACTTTTTTTTTTCCTTTTCTTTCTCTCTCTCTCTCTTTTAGGAAGAAAATAGATGTTTTTGAAACCTTATACTTTGGCCTACAAAAGCTTAGGGTCGATTTGGATTGTTATGTTTTGTAGTTTTTATATAAAAATATACTATAATGATTTGATGTATGTGAAGTAAAAAAATGATCGAAAAATGTGTTTACGAAAAATATAAAAAAAAATTCATATAAAACTACAATCCAAACAAAGACCTCAATTATCTCCAAACACAAAAGAGATGGAATGGAAATAAAATATGAATAAATAAGAAGCAAAAAACATGGAAACGAAATATAAAATAAATAAATGCCAGATCTTTTTTGACTACTAATATTATTATAGGTTTTTAAACCCCAATCGTTGATGGTATTTGCTAATTCTCATTTATCTATATTTTTATTTCAATTTTTTTATATTTGAAGGAAAAAAAAAGAAGTAATGAATGGATAAATTTATCAATTTATTAGTTTGATTTTGGTTTTTTACTATTGATAGTTAGTTTTAACAAAAAACTAATGATGACACTTTAATCTAAATCATCAAAGGATTATATATAGATTTTTAAATTATATGGGATAATGTGATAAAACCCCAAATTATACCGTGTAAAAGATAACTCATTCCCTTTTTCATTTTTTTCAAACACAGCAACATTTCACGAGAATCACGACTGATCGATGGCTGCAGGATTATGCCCAGACTCAGAGATGATTTTCAAAGGGCCAATCCTGTAACCGACACCGGCAACGCAACAATTTTCACGTGGCGCAATACAGTCTACATTGCAATCCGTCGTTAAAGTGGAAAGAACCAATCCATACATTACAACTTAAGTCGACTTTCATGTCTTTCAGATCCATGTGGTGGGACGCACTTTGGCTGGATTGGATTCCCCTTTTTTGGGGGGGACGAGGATGTCTTTGTAACATTTGTGAGCAAACAAACACAAGATTTCAGATTCCTTTTCAACAAGGGATAATTGCCTGAGGTTTCTGACACTTACACTGACCTCCCTTTAGGTTTAGAAATCGCATTTAACACCCCTAAATAGGAACAATTCGTTGCAAAACCTCCCTGAGACTTGATGTCCTATTAAAAAATTATTTGTAGAAGTGAGATAAGAAATTTTTTCCAATGTTGCCCTGATCTTGCTTGACAATTAGTATTAACAAGGGAAGAGCATAGGCACTAAGGATCAAGCAAGTTCATGGGGGATAAATATAACATATTTTTCATTCCAATATCTAACTTGGTTTAATGAGTGTTTCGGAAAAATGCAATTGAATTTCAAATTTACCCCTGATATAACAATTCTTATAAAGCAAAAGAATTACACATACGACAAATTAACATCTCCATAATTGTAACTACAATAGTTATTAACTTTTTTGATAAAATATAAGAAAATCATAAACCATAACAAAATTTAATACTAGAAAATAAATATAGTGGCTGTATTAATAAGGAGTAAATTCCCAAAAAGAGAGAGTTTTTAAACTAACTTTCTAAAAGGTGACTATTTTTTAGTCTCTTCCCAAAAGGTGGAAAACACATCGAATGATATGCATTCTTCCAAATAAAATGCAACTTTCAAATACGTTATTTTAATTTTCATAAATTTGTTTAAATATGAAAAATTGGTTAAATAACGCATAACATACCAGCTTTTTATGGGAAACTGGTAGGTTTTGTAGTATGTTTTATACCAACTCTTTATGGAAAACATACCAGTTTTTTATGGAAAAAATTGGTTAAATAACGCCAAAAGAAAAACTAGTATGCTTTGTATTTAACATAAATTAAATATGTACAAGTAAAAAAAAAAAATTGCCCATAACATACCAACTCTTTATGGGAAACTGACAGGTTTTATATTTAATGCGTTATTTAACCAATTTCGTTGGCCTGTGGAGCTAATTAACCAATTAACGTATTAACTAATTAGTTAATTAGATAAACAAAAATTAGTTAATTAGTTAATTAATTAATTAGATATTTAGTTAGTTAATTAGTTAATTAGATAATTAGTTAGTTAATTAGATAAACAGAAATTAGTTAATTAGTTAATTAATTAGATAATTAGTTAGTTAATTAGTTAAGCAGTTAATTAGTTTAACATGCAAATAATTTGTTAGTTTCGGACAGACAACAACTTTAGTTAATTAGTTAATTAGATAAACAAAAATTAGTTAATTAATTAATTAGATAATTAGTTAATAGTTAATTAGTTTAACTATGCAGAAATAGTTTGATTAGTTAATTAGATAAATAGAAATTAGTTAATTAGTTAATTAATTTAACAATGCAGAAATAGTTTGATTAGTTTAATTTGTTTAACAAATTAAACGTTGGTTTTGATGAAAGTACTCAAACCTTTCATCTGGTAAAGTCAAATATAATCGGGGGTACTCTAGTAAATTCACACACTTTTACCTTTTAAATTAGTTCCAATTTTTTCCAGGGGAGGTTAATGCTATTTCAAAATTGATAGGAGAGGTCAATGCAAATGTCAGAAATCTCAGGGGAGGTTTCTTCAATTTTCCCTTTCAACAATGAAATGGAATGAAAGAGTTCGCTTTTCCTGCTTCCCACCTCAGCAATTTTTTATTTTATTACTCCTTGAAATGTATTAAAAGTTCAATCAAAGAAACCACGTAACATGTAGTTTGAATTAAGACACCGCCGAGTTTAGAGTTTAGACTCGTGATAGATTGGTTAATGACGGACTACTTACTAACTTTCAGGTTCACAAATCCGAGAGCTGTGACGATTGACGAAAGGAATTTCGAGACCTCCTCGTCATGGACCCAAATTGATAAAAGTAACGGAGAAAAGTAACGCAGTTACGCGGCTGGATTATAAGCACGCTCTTACACAAAACGTAAAACAAACGGCTACTAATACCGACTTAATCACTGAAGGTCATGGATATTAATCCCATGCAACCACCGCCACATACTCTAACCACGCCACCAAACTCTGCCATGTGGCTTTTCACTCCTTGCTTTAATTTTTCTCCACGTCCAATACACACAAAGAGGGATTTTTTCCAATTTTTGAGAAACCTAAAAGCTTTTTCTTTTTTTTTTTCATGTAATTTGTGTGATTTATCTAGTAACTGTCATGAATCATGAAATATGTTGTACCATATATATATATATATATGTATAATTTTTGGATATATTATCTTTAATAGAGTCAAAATAACGTACAAATTCTCTTTTACTTCTCTCGTATAGGTTGGCATTGACGCTCTTCCATATTGTAAATTTGAAATATTACTTTGTAAAGTTGCAAAAGATTATACTACTATTACTTAGTATAACTCTTCAAATTATTGATTCAATTAAATACAATAACGAATTGTTATCTTCGTTGGGAAAAAAAAAATACATCAATCTTTGCTTAGTTTACTTTGGACGTTTGGCGCTATTTACATGTTTAATGAATTTTTATTACGTCATTTCTAGAAATCTATAACAAAGTACTTTCATCCAAAACGTAAGAGAATGAAAGAACAAAAAATGTTATGAATAAGAAAAGAGAAAGTGAGTACAGAAATTAGTGAGTACCATTTAAGGAGAGGCAGTTAAGCTTCGCTTACATTAAACAGCGCCATTAATTTGATAACGTGCTTGTGGTAATTACCACTGAACCTCCAAAGGTGCAGTAACAACCTTTTCATTTTCATCCCAAGGTCATATTATTCTTTTTTGCTGCAACTATTCCACAGGAAGGGGACATTTGTATAACCTAAATTATACTATTCTAAGAAAGAGGGAGTTTAAAGAAATTGTATAAGAAGTTAGTGCTCTGACATATTTTTTGAATTTTTTTTTATTAAATATGGTGTTCAAATCCGAGACTTATAGTCTAAAAAAAAGATTTAATCCCTTTTTGGTGGTTACTGAACTAAAACTCAATTCTTGTTTTTATTTAAATTTAGGATTTTCAACTTCAAATATAAAAGTTACCTAATTAAGATATTTTTCCCAAACCTTCTTAAGCTTGGTAGTGCGGGAGGTCAAGGATCCGAATCTTGCCTCTCACAAAATTTGTCACATTATGTGACGATCTTTTTTGACCAGTTTCAACGGAGTTTCTACTCATATCGAGTCTCCTTCCCCTTCCTCTAAAATAGATTAGCTTAGGTTATAGGAATTCTATCATATCGAAACAAAAAAGAATATTTTTCCCTCTTTCCATTTCTGAAAATATACATATTCCAAATCATATAAATGTCCCAAAAGAAAAGGACAACATATTTAAAAAAAAAAAGTCGGTTTTAGAATATGCAGGCTTCGCTTGCTTTCAAGCACAAGCATACTGTACCTTGTAAGCAGGCAATTCGTTCGTCACTGTATCAACCAACAACGGTAAAAGCTTTAAATGGGGGTGGGGTAACTTAGCCTTATTACTTATACCGGAGCTCAAATAGTACCCCCGGGAAAGGGTTGTCGTAGATTTGCCGCCACGTCATATCTCTAAGAAGGTCT